TAAAGAAAGGGATTTGAGGCTGTGGAATAGTCTGGTGGGTACTCCCTCGTATCCCTTGCAGGATGTTCTCCGACCACGTAAGAACAGCACCCTACGCGGTAGGTCCCATCCTTACCAAGTCGACTCATGCACTGTAAATAGATGTCTCTTTGATTTCAAATAGATTGTATTGTTAGTTTTTAGTATATTGGGACAGTTCTTTACTCTATATGTACTTTGTAAGTTTTAATGTCTGTCTAAAACTATGTTACATTTATATATTGATCTCTTGCCTTTACGTCTTAACAACATTCTGACAACCACTTTAAATAACACTTTACGGTGGAACCTCTCCCCTCACGTACACATTTATAGTAAAGGCATTCAGTTCTGCCTCTTTGATGCCTGTATAAAAGAGGTTTGAGTGTATTCTTAAGGCACAAAGCCACCTTAGAAATCGAAAACTAACTCACTTCCATAATGAAAAGCAAGGAACATACTAGAGCATCAAGATAAGCCGGAATCATTTTAAGGAAAACTATTTCAAAAAAAAAGGCATATACCTTTACATTTGTGAAAATTACAGCTCTCTGCAGAGATATTTGTCCCAGGACAATACTTTCCGTTCCATTTAGGCGCTGGATTAGAGCATGTGCGAGCACGTGTCCTGTGTCCCCCTCCACACGTCACGCTGCATGGTTGCCATGACGACCACTGGCTCCAACTGCCATTCACTGATGATTAAAGGGAATAATCCATGACATGAAAACCTTAGAAAGTGTATAAACTGCTGACTTTTTGAATTGGTAAGAAAAAGATCGTTTAGCTTATGTTTTAAAACGACGTTTTTAAGATAGCGTTCCAGTGTACAACAAGACTTTACGGTTCACGACAAAAAGGTTTACAGATTTTATTCAGAATTCCAATCCAATGAACTGGAGAAGCCAAGGGCCTCATCGAGGCAGGTGCTTAATACCAGTTTAAATATTTCTAGAAGTAACGGAAATTAATATTTAGATCAGTTGGCTGGGGACCCAAATGTAAATCATGCTACATAATATTAGTTAGAAAAATATCACGGGATAAAATTTGTGAAGTGTGAGGTTATGAACTGGTAACTAACCTCCAACAAACCGGTAAACAAATATGGTCCATGCATTTCCAACGTTATAATTCCATAAACAACTGTTGGATCGCCCATGTCTGTTGTACGTCATGTCACCGTTTAATCCACTCCAGCACTCGTATCGATGTTCTACGCCAAAATACCAGAAGCCATTCTCATACACTTGAGTAGCACACTCGTGAATCATGGATGGAAGTGAATTGGCCAAATCTCTCTCGTTGACAGAGTACCATTGGAGTAACACTGGTAGGGCGCGTGGAGTAGCGTCTTTGAAACAACCGACTGGTTCATACGGGTGCAGTGCCATGGTATCTGTGTAGAGAAGACCGGATAATCATTAAGTAGAGAAGCCAAGCTATAAATTAGCAACCTACAGCTGGTGGTTCTTGCGGCGCATTTAACGAGAAGCTCTAAGTGTTCACCATCTCCTTTATCTTGCGGCATTAAAAGCCACTCGTTTCCCCCTTCGCCGCTGTATTTCATTTTGCCATCTTCCGAGAAGGAGTGCACTGTGTTCATAGCCATATTGGTACAGTTATAAAACATCCTGAAAATTAAAAACTAACTCAGCTCCGAAACGGAAAGTAAGGAGCATAGTGGAGCATCAAGTTAAGCTGGAATCATTTTAAGGAAAAATCTTTTACAAAGGGCATCTACCTATACATTTCTGTAAATTGCAGCTCTCAGTTGAGATATTTTTTCCAGCGCAATCCATTCCGTTCCATTGTGGCGCTGGATTAGAGCACGTGCGAGAACGTGTCCTATGTCCTCCTCCACACGTCACGCTGCATGGTTGCCATGGCGACCAATAACTCCATCTGCCATTCACTGATGATTAGAAGAAACAATTCGTGACATGAAAGATTTGAAGGTGTATAAACTTATGACGTTTTAAGTTCTTGTGATATCTACCTTTACATTTGTGCAAATTGCAGCTCTCTGTGGCGATATTTGTCCCAGCGCAATCCATTCCGTTCCATTTTGGCGCTGGATTAGAACATGTGCGAGCACGTGTCCTGTGTCCCCCTCCACACGTCACACTGCATGGTTGCCATGACGACCACTGGCTCCAACTGCCATTCACTGATAATTAGAAGAAACAATCAATTAAATAAAAACTTAGAAAAGGGTAACTTTTGAAGTTTTGAGTTTTTGAGAACTCTTTTTACATTTGTGCAAATTGCAGCTCTCTGTGGAGATACTTGTCCCAGGGAGATCCTTTCCTTCCCATTTTGGGGCTTCATTAGAGCATGTGCGAGCACGTGCCCTGTCAGTCCCCCTCCGCACGTCACGCTGCATATTTGACAAGATACGACCACTGGCTCCAACTGCCATTCACTGATGATTAAAGGGAATAATCCATAACATGAAAACCTTAGAAAGTGTACAAACTGATGACTTTTCGAATTGGTAAAAAATGATCGTCAAGCTTATGTTCTAAAACGGCGTGTTAAGAGAGCGTTCCAGTGTACAACAAGACTTTACGGTTGACGACGAAAAGGTTTACAGCTTTTATTCAGAATTCCAATTCAATGAACTGGAGAAGTCAAGGGCCTCGTCGAGGCAGGTGCTTAATGCCAGTTTAAACATTTTTAGAAGCAACAGAAATTAATATTTAGATTAGTTTGCTGGGGACCCAAATGTAAATCATGCTACATAATATTAGGTAGAAAAATATAACGGTGCAAAATTTGTAAAGTGTGAAGTGATCAACTGGCAACTAACCTTCAACAAAGCGGTAAACAAATATGGTCCATACATCTCCCACCCTATAATTCCATAAACATTTGTCGGATCGCCCATGTATGTTGTAGGTCATGCTACCGTTCACTCCACTCCAGCACTCGTAGCGATATTCCACGCCAAAATACCAGAAGCCTTTCTCAAAGACTTTCGTAGCACATGCGTGAACTATGGCTGCGAGTGAATTGGCCAAATCTCTCTCGTTGACAGAGTACCTTCGTACTAACACTGGTAAAGCGCGTGTACTATTGTCTTTGAAACAACCGACTGGTTCATAAGGATGTAGCGCCGTCATATCTGTGCAGAAAAGACCAGATCATCATTTAAAAGAGGTCAAGCTATTAATTAGCAACTTAACCTCTCCTAGCTGTTATTCATTTTGGCATCTTGTGAAAAGGGACGCTCTGTGTTCCTGGCCATTTTGGCACAATTATAAAACATCCTGAAAATCAACAACTAGCTCAGCTCTGAGTTAGCTTTTTATTTTCTCCGTCGGGATGTATTTTTCGACGCTTTTAAATTTTTAAAAAAATATATTAGCATCTTTAATGTTTAACGTGTCGTGAGAAGGGTGTGCATGGACAATGTTGAGCGATTGAGTAAAGATACAGAACTAA